ACTCCTTTGATTTGGGGTTGGTCCCATTCAATTTGGAAGATAGTAAATGTTACTCCTCTATTCAAAAAATGGAAGGAGACAGAAAGCAGGAAGTTGCAGTCCAGTTACCTGAATATCTGTCAGAGGAAAAGGTTTGAAGATATTTTAAAATAAGTTATAGCAGGGCACTTGGGTAAGTTCAAAGTAATCAGGCAAATTCAACATGGTTTTGTGAAAGGGAAATTATGTTATCTAATCCATTAGAGATCCTGGAGGAGGTAAAATACCCTGGAAAAAGAGATAATAAGATATTAATACATAATTAGATTTCCAGAAAGCATTGAATGAGGTGCTACATTAAAGGTTATTGCAGAAAATAAAAGCTTATGGTTTAGGGCGGAGCATATTGTCATGATTAGAATGCTAACCAGCTAATGGAAGCAAAGAGTAGGCGTTAAGAGATCTTTTTCAGATTGATACCATGTAATGAGTTGTGAACCACATGGAATCAGTGTTGGACCTCAACTGTTTACACTTTATGTACAAAGAAGAACAAAGAACAAAGAACAAAGAAAATTACAGCACAGGAGCAGGCCCTTCAGCCCTCGAAGCCTGTGCTGATCCAGATCCTCTATCTAAACCTGTCGCCTATTTTCCAAGGATCTGTATCCCTCTGCTCCCTGCCCATTCATGTATCTGTCTAGATACATCTTAAATGACGCTATCGTGCCTGCCTCTACCACCTCCGCTGGCAACGCATTCCAGGTACCCACCACCCTCTGTGTAAAGAACTTTCCCTTAAACCTTTCCCGTCTCACCTTGAAATCATGACCCCTAGCAATTGAGTCACCCACTCTGGGAAAAAGCTTCTTGCTATCCACCCTGTCTATACCTCTCATGATTTTGTAGACCTCAATCAGGTCCCCCCTCAACCTCCATCTTTCTAATGTAAATAATCCCAATCTACTCAACCTCTCTTCATGGCTAGCGCCCTCCATACCAGGCAACATCCTGGTGAACCTCCTCTGCACCCTCTTCAAAGCATCCACATCCTTTTGGTAATGTGGCGACCAGAACTGTAAGCAGTATTCCAAATGTGGTCAAACCAAAGTAACATGACTTGCCAACTCTTGTACTCAATACCCTGTCCGATGCATGAAAGCATGCCATATGCCTTCTTGACCACTATCGACCTGCGTTGCCACCTTCAGGGTACAATGGACCTGAACACCCAGATCTCTCTGTGCATCAATTTTCCCCAGGGCTTTTCCATTTACCGTATAGTTCGCTCTTGAATTGCATCTTCCAAAATGCATCACCTCACATTTGCCTGGATTGAACTCCACCTGCCATTTCTCTGCCCAACTCTCCAATCTATCTATATTCTGCTGCATTCTCTGACAGTCCCCTTCACTATCTGCTAGTCCACCAATCTTAGTGTCATCTCAAACTTGCTAATCAGACCATCTATACCTTCCTCCAGATCATTTATGTATATTGCAAACAACAGTGGTCCCAACACAAATCTCTGTGGAACACCACTGGCCACAGTTCTCCATTTTGAGAAACTCCCTTCCACTACAACCCTCTGTCTCCTGTTGCCCAGCCAGTTCTCTATCCATCTAGCTAGTACACCCTGGACCCCATGCGACTTCACTTTCTCCATCAGCCTACCATGGGGAACCTTATCAAATGCCTTACTGAAGTCCATGTAGATGACATCTACAGCCCTTCCCTCATCTATCAACTTTGTCACTTCCTCAAAGAATTCTATCAAGTTGGTAAGACATGACCTTCCCTGCACAAAACCATGCTGCCTATCACTAATCAGCCCATTTTCTTCCAAATGTAAATAGATCCTATCCCTCAGTATCTTCTCCAGCAACTTTCCCACCACTGATGTCAGGCTCACCGGCCCATAATTGCCTGGATTATCCTTGCTATCCTTCTTAAACAAGGGGACAACATTAACAATTCTCCAGTCCTCCGGGACCTCACCTGTGCTCATGGATGCTGCAAGGATATCTGTTAAGGCCCCAGCTATTTCCTCTCTCACTTCCCTCAGTAACCTGGGATAGATCCCATCCGGACCTGGGGACTTGTCCACCCTAATGCCTTTTAGAATACCCAACACTTCCCCCCTCCTTATACCGACTTGACCTAGAGTAATCAAACATCTATCCCTAACCTTAACCTCCATCATGTCCCTCTCCTCAGTGAATACCGATGCAAAGTACTCATTAAGAATCTCACTCATTTTCTCTGACTCCTCGCATAATTTCCCTCCTTTGTCGTTGAGTGGGCCAACCCTTTCTCTAGTTACCCTCTTGCTCCTTATGTACAAATAAAAGGCTTTGGGATTTTCCTTAACCTGTTTGCTAAAGATATTTCATGACCCCTTTTAGCACTCTTAATTCCTCGTTTCAGATTGGTCCTACTTTCCTGATATTTTTCCAAAGCTTTGTCTGTTTTCAGTCGCCTAGACCTTACGCATGTTTCCTTTTTCCTCTTTGCTAGGCTCACAATTTCACCTGTCATCCATGGTTCCCTAATCTTGCCCTTTCTATCCCTCATTTACGCAGGGACATGTCTGTCCTGCATTCTGATGAACCTCTCTTCAAAAGCCTCCCACATATCAAATGTGGATTTATCCTCAAACAGCTGCTCCCAATCCACATTCCCCAGCTTCTGCCGAATTTTGCTATAGTTGGACTCTCCCCAAATTTAGCACCCTTCCTTTAGGACCACTCTTGTCTTTATCCATGAGTATTGTAAAACTTATGGAATTGTGATCACTATTCCCAAAGTAATCCCCTACTGAAACTTCAACCACCTGGCCGGGCTCATTCCCCAACACCAGGTCCAGTATGACCCCTTCCCAAGTTGGACTATTTACATACTGCTCTAGAAAACCCTCCTGGATGCTCCTTACAAATTCTGCTCTGTCTAAGCCCCTAACACTAAGTGAATCCCAGTCAATGTTGGGAAAATTAAAATCTCCCATCACCACCACCCTGTTGCTCCTACGTCTTTCCATAATCTGTCTACATATTTGTACCTCTATCTCACGCTTGCTGTTGGGAGGCCTGTAGTACAGCCCTAACATTGTTACTGCACCCTTCCTATTTCTGAGCTCTGCCCATATTGCCTCACTGCTCGAGTCCTCCACAGTGCCCTCCTTCAGCACAGCTGTGATATCCTCTTTGCACATCCTCCACCCCTTTTACTTCCCTCTCTATCCCGCCTGAAGCATCTATATCCTGGGATATTTAGTTGCCAATCTTGCCCTTCCCTCAACCAAGTCTCAGTAATAGCAATAACATCGTACTCCCAGCTACTAATCCAAGCCCTCGTTCATCTGCCTTACCTACTACACTTCTCGCATTGAAACAAATGCGCCTCAGACCACCTGTCCCTTTGCGTTCATCATCTGTTCTCTGCCTACTCTTCCCTTTAGTCACACTGACTTCATTATCTAGTTCCTTACAGGCTTTAGTTACTACCTCCTTACTATCCACTAACCTCCTCATTTGGTTCCCATCCCCCTGTCACAATAGTTTAAACCCTCCCCAACAGCGTTAGCAAAAGCAACCCCTAGGACATTGGTTCCAGTCCTGCCCAGGTGTAGACCGTCCAATTTGTAACAGTCCCACCTCCCCCAGAACCAGTCCCAATGTCCCAAAAATCTGAACCCCTCCCTCATGCACCATCTCT